ATTTTTGACGTTTTCTCATTTCCTCTCGTTTTTATTCTCGTTTCCTCTCTAAATTCCTTATACTTTCTCTTTATTTCCATCTTCTGGATCCAACTTCAACACGTAACGCCCTGTCAAAAATTAAATTCCGGCTAGCGCCGCGTTATTGTGGGATGCTCCATATAAATTTTATAGGCATGAGGATCTTTCACAGTTCCTTGGCGCTTGACGCGCCAATTTAGGGATGGCAGTTAGCGCTGACAGTTTGTTAGATGCCAGGGAGATACTTCGTTCTTATTATCTTCTTTAACATCAGATTAAAAAACTCACACGGCATAAAGGCAACTAAATACTCTTCGTTCTGTTCATGCTGTTTTGATATCCACAAAAAGATGGTGTGAGTCGACCGTAATCTCGCAGGTCTTTTCTAATATTTTGCTTATAGAGAATACCTGTCCTAAAGCCGCACTGATAAGGCCCAATCAGATCTTCAGCGGCGGTATGTGGGGAACGATAAACGATTGATTAGTGGTCTCTAAGAGTCCCAGCGCATCTTTTGGCTGCCGTTACAGTTACAGTTCCTCAACGTCGGGCTTTCCTTGTACATTAATACGCACGTTATTTGCTGCACAGATGCGTATGCGTATCTTGCCAGCCGAATCGATGTTAGGTCCTCGGCGAATTTACATTTAAAGCAGTGGAATCATTCCTTCTGTCTATCACAACATCCGATTCGAAATTTGGTTTTCGAATCATACGTATTTTATTTAACACAGTTGAAACGTGCCTTACGTCCATCCCAACATCATAATTTAGATTTTCTTGTTTCAAACCAGTGACAACCACGTAGCTTGGTGGAGCTTCTTATGCTGGAAACTGGTGATAGAAACTAAAATATTTTGGGTCCAGCCTTAATTCCGACACCGAATTTTCCCTCCTTTAAAAGGAAGCTGTAATAGACGTCGGAGGGCCCTGTTGTTTTCCTACTTTGCGCGGTCCAAGGCCCCAAATCTTAGTCCTTAAAACGTTTGCAGGCGTCGTCACCCCAAAAGGGGTCTCATTTGGACTATTCATTGGCGTTTTTTTACGTGGCGGGTCCCAAGGGCAGCGTACAAACCATTACTGGGGAGGTTTGGCTCGCTTACAAATGGATGTTCGGCTGATGTAAACACCAGAGTTCGTGAGCTGAATAAACCGGATGCAAAATAATCTTTTTTGACCACTCCTTGGTGCACCCGGAACCATCGAAGTTTCCATAGTTTTAAACAATTTTACAACCAGTGACGATCAGGGGGTGCACCCGATGCCTCAATGCTTGACTTTCATTATATATTATCAAAACTGTCAGAAAATTCAAACGGATAATTATCAATTGTGTTCTTTCATCATTCATTCTTTGTAAACGTTTGTTCGTATTGAATAAAGTCAGTCGTTAAGTAACATTCAAAACCCTCGGAACTTTAGGTAATGCCCCAGCGCCCGAGAGACTGTGAACGGTGAAAAATAAAGTGAAGTTTATCAGTTTATCAAAACTGATCTGGGGAGTTACGTAGATGGCTCTATCGCGAAGCCTACGGATGAGGCAATACTCATCGAGTGGAAAATTGCTGATCAAAAGGTATTAGCGGACATACGTTCGCAACAACAGAGCTAGGGATAATTTCAAAATGCAGCAGTCCACGTGAAATTCGGTTAAGATTGGAATCGATATTCCAATCCAAAGGGCCAGATAGAAAAGCGGTAGAAACGTTTAAGTTGGCGACGAGCTGCTAGCAATCTTGTTGTTGAATAGTCTGCCAGCGTCGTATGAGCGGTGAAAACGCGATACGATTTGCCGAAGCGCGTGAAAATCCTCGAAGAATATGAGTCGGGAAAATCAAAAAAGGACAAAGTGGACTATAATGTGCTTTACACAAAGAAAAGGCTAAATCAATCGTAGGTTGGTCGGAATTCGGGGAATTCGAAACAAGGAAAAAACTTCTATCGGTGCGACAAGCCGGGTCATTTCACGCGAAATTGTCCAAGCAAACCACAAAAACAAAATACGCGTATAAAAGAAGAAGAAAACGAAAAGCAACCAATAATTTTTACCAAAAAAAAACCAAACCAACTTCAATTCTCATATAAAAAAAAAATGTATATATATATTTCATGATCCAATGATCAGATCTAAACCAGATTAGTATGAGACCACCTCTGAGACACTACCTTCCCGATGCAAAAAGAATTATCGTAATTGGTTGACGTGGTACATAAAAAAGAATAATCCGGCGAACTGATAACCTCCTACTTTTTTGGAAGTCGGTTAAAATGACATTAAATACACTGGGAAAAGCATTTGCAGTCCCTTGTTATAAAAAAAGAGAAACGTGTTTTTTTATTTTGAAAAAAAGTGACCTTTAAGCGCTGGTCGGCTTTTTATAAAAACAGGATGTTCCCCATTTTTTTATTTTCTTGACATGTTAAAATGCAGCTAAAAATGTGATTTTTACATATAATTACTCTCGTATTATTGGGGAACATTCCCTTAATTACATACCTGTCTTGGGTAGTTAGAATGGGCCTAATGCCGAGTTTCAGCCCTTGACAATGCTTAAAGCGTTCAGTATCCACGTTTTAATTTTAGTATTTTTTTTTTTAATTTGATAGCCATACTGGATCCGCCATTTTGAAGTAAACAAAATTTACTTGAGGTTCGTAATCGGCGACCCCAAAAACTATCGAGTACCGGTTTTCGAACAAATCCAATCATTAAAAAAAAAAATGGATCGCCATTTTGGATCCGCCGTTTTGAATTTTGAAAAAGTGACTTCAGATTCCTAATAAGCAAAACCCAGAAACCCCCTGGTAACAAGCTCCAGCCCATAACAATGCGCAAATCGTTCAGTATCAACGTTTTGATTTTACTAGTCTCTTTTCGAGAGAATATTTTCGGGAACTATGCCCATTTTAACTGTCCAAGATAGGTGTGTAATTAAGGGAATGCTCCTCAATAATGCCAGAGTAATTATATGTAAAAACCACATTTTAGCTGCGTTTCAGCGTTTTTATGAAAAACCGACCAGCGCGACCTCTAAAAAAACTTTTTTTCAAAAAAAAAAAATACGTATCTCTTTTTTTTATCACAAATAACAATATTCTGATGTAGCGTTTATGAATTTCCAAAAATAGTGGTTTTATGAACCACTCTACTACATAGTCTTAAATATTAATTCTATTCTAGGCTCAAGTTCGGCCTGGTGGAACGAAGTTACATGCACCGGACTCTTTTCGCTTGGGTTGGGACTATTCTTGCTTGCACTGAATTGCCTAATTAGTCGCAAAGAGGAAGAAGATCTCGAAGACTATGTGCAAAGGCAATTAACCAGATCAAGATCTGGCCATCGTCTGGAACGTGATGTAGAAACGGGTGTTCTTACCACGCGTCATGCACGCAAAGCTGTGGCACTACAAAAGAACTTGCGCAATGGAGCTGCCACTGATGTTGCACTAGTCAACAGTACGTCGGCGGAAGAAGTAGCAAATGGTCCGTTGACAGGACACAACTGTTAGTGTGCTAATAGTATTAGAAAGTATTAATTCTTAAGTCGTACTTAAATATTTTGTTGCATTCCATTTTCTTTCGATAGGTTTAGCCAATACCGGTGATATAGTGCTCGAAAAAATTGTGGAGGAGGATAATACGTACATAAACGATCGAAGCTCTGGCATATCGCCAATGGAGATTGAGAATGACACAAAACAATTGCTGAGGAGGGAATCATTAAATGAAACAATCAATATAACACGAATATAAAAATTAATGAATTAGACTTAGATATTTATTAAAAAATTACTTTAATATTATTATTATTACTACTTATTATGAAGACTTTTATTTAAACTTAAGCCTTTAAACTATAAGTGAAGTATTTAAATTGAAATATGAAAAAGTTCAAGAAAAATCCCATATGACCGTATTTTTTATCAAATGTCTTTTATAAGAATTTTCGTATTTGCATGTATACCTAATATTAATCAAATTTGTAAATCGAGTAATCATACATAGAAACATACAGTCTAGATTATTGCCCAATGAAAAACTAAATATTGAATGTAGTCAAACATAAAAAATAACAAATCGGATTATTAGTACATACAAAATTTATCATGAAACCTTACAAAGGATATCGTCACCCTTATGCCAGAAGCATAAATGTGCAAATTTATCAGTTTTGAGTTATTGGGTTGACTTTATTAAGTTTGGATGTTATACCAAAACCCAGAATATCATGCGTGACCGGAAACCATATATTTTACAATTTGAATTGCATAAATGTAGAGTTAAGTCTCGTAAAAAAAAAACTTTCAAACCTGATTTCCCAAAAATTTTCATTTTTACAACGCTTTTTTACATATTCATGTTTCTGACGTTTGGGCGACGATATTATATATAGGTATGTATGTGTAGGTACTACATATTGCACTTGGACTTCATATGCCATTAATCACAATTTAATATACGTATGTATGATTCCTAAAATAGCACTTCAAAGCAAAACCCAATTAGTTAAATACTTATGTATGTATATTGTATGTGAATACGCATATGGATGTATGTACATATAATAATCGTATTATGTGTATTTATACATACGTACGAACATAAAGGAGGGTTTACAATGTCAGCATAGAGTTAAACGTGGTTTTACTGAATCTTTCTTATGTTCAAAATATGAATGTAGAGTGAACTTATGACATAAATAAGTGGTTTTCGAAACTCCAATAGAACTGAGACTTCACTCCTACAGAATTGAAGTGTTCACAGTTCGTTCCAAGATAAGTTCCAAAATGTTCACATCAACATTTTGTAATTTTTAGTAGTCGTAATATCCGTTGTGTTATTGTTTTCCATACAAAATCGTAAAACGACGCCCCACAGGTTTTCCCTTCCATATAAAATGTGGCAAAAAATAGAATTATGGACGGTTTTAAATGAAAATCTGTATCTTAGTAAGATTTTTTTTTGATATATTATATTCAAATTATTCAATAAGTTACAAAAATTACTACATTATGAATATCAATCGGAATGGTTTTGAAAAGGCTTTACTTCTAAACTGCACGTAGGAGGGTTGCAAGCAGTTTAGAAAGTTAAATTAAACTAAACTTGAATTAGGGGTAATAGCTGAAATACAATGCCGGCGAACGGCGAACTCACCACAGCGAAATTCGCGCTGTCCAAATTAGAACACCCGCAAGCATATGAAATTGAACACAGCCAAAGCGAAATGCGAAGTTCGCTTGGCGGCGTTTCATGGCGATAGATTTATTTCTATCGCCCTGCTGGGCGATGACAGCTGTGCGTGCCAAAGGTGGCCGTATTTGTTTTTTGCTTTCAAAGTTTTAAAAGAAAACAACCTAAACACGATTTTTTTTTGTTGTTTGAAAAATATAGTTGTGGATTCGTTAAATCTGGCTTGAAACAAATTATTTATAATAATCTTTTTTTTGTTTTACATTTATATTTGTTATCATTTCCTCATTTCTAAATATGGTTTAGTTTTTTCTAAATATGGTCACCCAAATTATAAAGGCGACCAAATGGGATCAGCTGTTTTCGCTACCGCTCTAATTCTGTTTAAGTAGGCGAAATAGCTGGGCGAACGGTGAACGATAGCATCGCCCAATTCGGCGAAGTTTGCCGTTCGCCGGTATTGTATTTCAAGCATAATATGTATCACTATATCTGTGTCAGACGAAAGAGGTTTAAGAAGGGTTTACCTTGAAAATATTTTGAAGAAGATTGTTACTGGTTTGTAAAAACGAATTTAAATAAATTAAATTAAACTATACAGAATTTTTGTGTGTATACGAATTGTTAAAACATGTACGTTAATCCAAAGAAACGGATTTGAATCCCCTAAACTCTCCCTAGATACCGCCCTGTCATACATATGAGCAAATCTCACGAGTTGTTACGTTTTTCGACAAAAACGTGTTCATGGTCAAAAATGGTGGCACACTTATCTTAGACCATTGTCTTTTGTTTTGCATAAAGAACAAAATTGTTTTTAAATGAAAACCTAAACAAGTAAGAAAGGCTAAGTTCGGGCGGAGTCGAAAATTAAATACCCGGCGCAAGTATTAATGATTTGTTTTTCACCTTTCTGAAAGCTACCGTTACATGGTAAGCCGGTGTGTATCAAGTTTGAGTAAATTAGCGTCCTTAAATTTCGAAATATTGAAGTTTCAAGCAGTTCTGACATTTACCGTTTTATGAAAAGCGGCCGTAATTTTAGTCCGATTTCAATAATTTTCAACGTTTTGCTTCTATGTGGCAAGCACAATAACCACACCGAGTTTGGTACAAATTGGTATAACGGTTACCGAGATACATATATGTGATCATAAGTGGGCGTGCCACGCCCATTTTCCAAAATTTTATCATAAACGTATTTCTTGGTAAAGAATTGTTGCAAGCATCAATTTTGAATAAATTAGCTTTAATATTTACTGATTTATCGAAGATTTCGTATTTCTCTAAATTACCGTTATACGGGATGTAGGTGTGGTTATTGTCCGATTTTAAAAATTTTCGGCCATTTCGTATGCTATACCAAGGCCAACAATTGTGCCAAGTTTGGAAGAAATTTGTGCAGTGGTTACCAAGATATACACATGTAACCATAAGTGGGCATGGCTACGCCCATTTTCCAAAAAGTTTTAATATTCTTATTTTTCGTCTAAAATGTATTGTAAATATCAATTTTGAGTGAATAATCTTCGCTAGTTACTAAAATATCACAGTTTTCGCATTTCTGAAAATTACCGTTATATGGGAGGTAGGCGTGGTTATTGTCCGATTTTGCCCATTTTCAATACCATCCGTCCTACGCCCGAAGGAAGTGCACGTACCAAGTTTCGTTAAGATATCGAAATTTTTACTCGAGTTATCGTGTGCACAGACGGACGGACGAACGGACGGACGGACAGACAGTCACCGTTTAATCGATTTCTCTTTTCATTCTGATCTTTTATGTATACATTTGTCTATATCTATCTCGATTCGTTTGCCTGTTACAAACAACCGTTATGTGAACAAAGTTATAATACCCTTGTGCACAAGTGCGCTCGGGTATAAAAAGATATACATACATACTAAAAAGTCAAAATAACAACTCGTGCTCATATAGCCGTAGTTGTGTATTTAACGTATACGTCCCGTAGCACCATACACAGTCAAATAACATGTTTACTCGCACGCCTTAACTTAAAAGTCATAGGCCCATAGTCAATGTCGTTAGTAAAATTTATTCTTATTAAAATAAAGTTTTAAGCTTAGAATAGATTTTTAAGTTGTATCAATCATAGACATCTTAGAACAGTTTTTGTTAAGTTGAGAGAGAACAGCGCTATCCATATGAAGAGAAAAAATTTACTCGGCAATGGAGTACTTTACTTAGTTCATCCTGTGTCCGCTGCAGGATTGCGGATTAAGTAAGCCGGGAAGTCGTGGGTTCGAATTCCATTGCAAGGAAACATTTTTTTACATGTTTTTTTGTTCCTTTGGATATTATTTTTTTTTATGTATGCTATAGTTGTTGTGCCATTTTTAATTAAAATTAAACTCCAAAAAATTTTATTAACTTGAAACAATTATGTGAAATACCATAAACAAAAGAAAATGATAAAATAAAATTTAATACAATAAAATTTAATAAAACAAAATAAAATAATGTTTATATTAAAAAAAAAATACTCAACTTAGAAAAACATTATTTGGAATCGCTCGGAGTGGGGACCGAACGTGGGTGTTATTGCGTTTACTACTTCAACAACAAAACTTAGAACTTTATTTTACCATTTTAAAATCGCGTCCTCCTCATTTAAAAGTTTTTGCCATCAAATGAATTTTAAGTTGACTATGAAAGAGTTCAAACGGTGATTACTGTAAAACACAATTTTAATCGTTAAAAAAATAGCCTACGCACCTGGCTATGCTTTGATTAAAATTCTTAGTATTAAATTTGTTAAATTTAGTGGCTTCCTGGTGGTTTATAATTAAGTTTATAGAGAAGGATTGCTCTTTTGGAATACAGTCGGGACACTTTTTTATTTTTATTCCAAATTTTGTATTCTTAAAATTCTGTAATAATACATACATATGTACATGGAAATAAATAAATTGGTAGTTAAGTTAAAAAATTAAAATTTTATAAATATAAATTGTAAACGAAATTGCCGAATTGGCATAAAGAAGGAAGGTCTGGCACAATCAGTAAAGTTTTGCGACGATTAAGCAACGATTGCTGGAAAAGAACACTCAAGGCAACATTTTGTAACTCATTTTGGAACGAACTGTGAACACCTCAAATAACTCTTCAACAAAATTACACTCAAGCTGACATTCGGAGTTGGACACCGAAGCTTGGTACTCGGTAACTCGGTGTTCGGTATTTTTTCCCCATGTATTGTGTTTGTGTAAACGCTCCCTGAAACGAGAAAAATAATTTCAACACTCGAATTGCGTAATAATTGCTGCAAAATTTACAAATAGAATTATCTTTGCAATTCAACTTAATTAAATAATTTAGAATGGAAACGAAAATAAAACAAAAAAAAATAATAACACATATTTGCACAATTCAATGAAAAGACTTTTAAGTAAAGCTAAATGTATAATAAATAAATGTAACCTAATATACTTAGTCTATACTTATAACTTTATTTAAAGGATACATACATATATATTATATAGTAATTGTACATATAAATATATTTTATATCGCTCTGGGCAAAATTGAAATACCTATATATGTACATAGTAGGTAGTAGTTAAACCTACTAAAACTTTA